CTGGCGGTTTCTGCAGTCTCCCTTGATTCGCCACGACGACGATCTCCTTGAGTTGCCTATATGCCATTCCTTTCCCGCTATCTCCCGCCTAGCTGACTTCTAGGTCAGAGGCGATAATTATGATCCGCTTTTACGTGGCATGCTCGCTATCTTACATATCAATGATTTCACATGGAAATTGAAATCTACTGTCTTCAGTTGGTCCAACACTTCGACGAAGTCATGCTATCAATTTTAGTATTTAGTTCCAGAAATAAAACTGTTACATTATGCAATTGTTCTTTCAAATCTAAAAAACTCATTTATGGAATAAAATGTCTACCGTAATATGTCTAAAACCACTAAATGAGCAAGAAAACCATACGGCTACCTCAATCAACAATATCATTGCTACTCGCACGCAACTTGAACAATGGAGATTATAACAGAATAAACGAACTCGATCATTAAAATGATGAGCTTAAATAAGAAAAGTCTGAAAAGCAAATTTAGTTTGGAAAAGAAGAGATCTCAAAGAGGACGATATATTTGATAGCACTCAAAATATAACTTGTACTTTCATGACGCTTATTGTACTTCAGTCGTAATCCCTGCGATAAAGAGGATGGAAGTTACAGAAAGAGCAAATTTATATCAAATATGAGGGTATGATCCAATCCCACTCGCCATGTTTACTTGACCGGTCGCAATTGCTCTAAAATGACAATAATCATCTCTAGAAAAATACTATGACAGTAAAGAGGATAAAACCAAACCTATTCATTTGATTCCACTCCTGGAATACTCTGTTCAACAAATTGCATTGTTCTACAGTGAAACCGAAATGACTGAAGGTCTGAAATTGCTAGTGAAAGGACGGTCGAGGGTGGTCGACAGCAATATCAAGAGAAAGAGGTAAGCCGTATACAAGTAAAAAACTACGATCACCATCTTCTTTACTGCTTGCACTGTCATTATTTCAATTTATTCCTTCTTGACTTAGAAAAGTTGGCACATGCAGTGAAACCTA